TCTTCCGGGCAACCCCCCCCACCCCCCCCCCCCCCAAACTTTAATAACTCCTACCCTTTTTAGCGCCGACAAAGAGTGCCTTGTTGGACGTGGGAGGTCAACAGACCCATATAGACATGATGGGCTACAATAAGCTTGATCAATTGCTCAATATGATTTTTCAAGGATTCGAACGATTCCGGGATGTTCTGGGTAAGAGTTAATTGAGCCATGATAGGCTCGGCCATCGCCATAAGGCCCTAGGTAGCAGAGGATTTAGTTGAAGGTTTGTATGTCGACTTACCGTAAAGTTTTCAATATTTATCCCGAGTGCGGTTAGGTTTGTGGTTCTGAGTCATCGATGAGTTCTGGTAGGATCACGGTAAATGGAAACCATTGCAGGAAATAAAATCTCTGCAGGGAAGACCGTCGCCATACAACTACAAGACTCCTTTCTGCAAAACCTGCGACAGCAAGGGTAGAGGAAGATTACTTCATGGAAGACAACATGCTTCACGGGAGACTGCCTGCTTCATGAGACTGCTTCACACGAGATAGCTTTCCAGGAACAACAGGAGAAGACCTACTGGAAAGGGAGATTTACCTGCGGGATAGATTTCTAGGGGAAGCTTTCGATGGGATACTATCACAAGAGCGCCTGGAAAGGAGTAGTTTTCTCACAGGAGACAAATTTACCCCATGAGACAGCTTTATAAGGGATACTATTCATGGGAGCGGACCACTATTCACGAGAGCGGACAACTTTCCACGGGATACCATCTATGAGAGCGGCTAGGAGAAATCAGCTACAACAACAACAACAACAACAAAGCCTTAATCCCACTACGTGGGGTCGTCTACATGAATCCTTTTTCTCCATTGCATCCTATTTAGTGTCATATTTTCATTTAGTTCTAGTGTCAATTAAGATCATTTTTAATACAATAAGCCCAAGTTTTCCTAGGTCTACCTCTGCCTTTCTTAACACAAGTCGAATCTAAAACATCTACTCTCCTAATCAGATCATCAGATGGGCTAGGAGAAATCAGCTGAGAAAGAAAAAATTCTCCATAGGAGAACGCCTATAGGTGGAATTGGCAGTAGGGAGAACTGTTGGAAAGGCCTGCAGGTAGGGTTCAATTCTTGGCTCTATTACCATGTTAGATTTAAGAATAGAGCACAATGATTCTCATTGATACAAAGAGGGCTATTTAAACACAATTACAATGGACTCAAATAAGAAAAGAAAGAAAAACACAATCAAAGAAATATAAAGTCAGAATAAAGATAAAATGGAAACTATGCATAATAAGGGTAATTAATAAATAATAATGGTTATGGAAAGCATAAATCTAATAGATACGATGGATTGTAAAAAGTAAAGTTTAGGTGTTAGATTTGTAAATACATAAGAATTAGGTGGTATGTATGTACATGTTCCAATAAATATATTGCAAAGAAGCAACATTCAAAGAAGTGGAAGATGACGAGAAAAAATCATAAATATCAGTAAGGTGAAAAACCAGCCTTCATACTTCTTAGTTTTTCTAAGTTCATTCAATGCAGGAAAATGGACTTCTCGATATGCCTCTAGCTCTTCCTCTTCCTCTTTGCCGCCACCAAAATAGCAAAGTGAATATGCGGCCATGTCAATTTCAAATCTAAGATGTATAGCTAAGTATCTGGATGCCTTGGTATGATGGAGAGCACTGGCATTATGATTAGATTTGGCAGCAGATGGGCCAAGCAGATTATGTTCCAAGAAGCTCCAGTTTATCATATGACGACGCATTCTTTGAACCAGCAATGCACCAGTTTCTTGTATTTTATCAACAAATCTCAGAGCATGGAAGTTGCACCTGCACCGTAGGCGCTGGACAATCTTTATGTTAGAAAGGAGGGCGTAAATTTGGTCATATAAAAGTATTATCACGAAAAATAAAAATCAAAATCCTGTTATAAAGAACCAATAACAGGCCTTTTAAATGTGTACATCATAAATGTTAATTATAGCATTTATAAATCTGTAGGACTATATATTATATGAATTATATGAAGCTAGAGAAGTAAGGGAGCATTTGTCCTTTCCTAATGTACATTTTGTGTGACACAAAATTTCTCCCATGTTGTTTACTATATTCACATGCCCAAATTTACCCCTTGTCATTTTCTACGAACACCAAGTGATAATTTTTTTTTCTAGCAACATCTAGCATGGATTAGATTTATCTAGATTTTTTTTCAATTAAGTTTTGTTGAAATTTTTTGAAAGATATGTGATAAAATCTGATTGATGTGTGACACATTTAAATGACATGTAATTCTTACCTAATAGGAGAAGGCCAGCATCTCCATTTTACATTGAATTATCTATCTTCTATACCATAAAGATTAATTTCAAAAGATTTTAAAACTGACAATGGCACTATCCAAAGCTAACGCTTAGCATATAAACAGAGACAGAGACAGAGGGAAACATCTAAAGATAAGCTAAGTGATGATGAAGTGTTTCCAATCTCTCTTCTCCCTGAGCTACCTCCGACCATTACTGGCCATCGTTTCCCCACCTTCGTCCTACTCGTTCAGATAGCTCTAAAAAAACATAAAAAGAAGAAAGGACTTGAAGACGAAGAAGAACATGGAATAAGATGGCCTTTGCATGGGCAGCGCCATGAAAGAGGGAACAGATGGCAACACCTTGTGGAGCATGCGGAAGCCATAGAGACCAAGTGTGATTCTGCAGAAGTTGCAGTTAACAACCATATGTTAGTTACAGCTAGCCTAGCTCTACAGGTAATACCCATTCCACTACACCCACAAATGTCCTCAGTGTTGGGATCACTGCCTTGGCTCCAAAACAATATCAAACATCTATATATGCGCACTAGTGCCCTACAGACAGTAACTAGAGATGAAATCAGATTGATTCTATTGCCTTCACACTCTATGAAAACCTCCATTGCAAGCTATTCCCAATATTGAGTTCTCTACCTCTGTACTTCACTTGAATGCTTTTCAGTACAGGTTCTCATGGTATCGGAGCCGTAAGGTTTCCTTTCCAAAGCCTTGGCTCCAAAACATTATCAAGCATCTATACATACGCACTAGTCACTACAGAAAGTAACTAGTGATGTAATATAGATTGATTTTATTCCCTTCAATACATTCTTTGAAAACCTCCATTGCAAGTTATTTCTGAAACCACAACTAAAATCAACACTAACATCAAAACGATTCGTTGGGATGGAGGAGGTGAATACGCCTCATAATCTCTATGGCAATACCTCTCATCTTATGGAATTTTAAATCAATTCAACCGTCCCTACACAACCCAACAAGACGGGGCGTTTGAACACAAACACTGACATCACATCGAGACAACCCACACTGCTACAGACTCCAGAATACCAACTCAGTTCGGTAAAAAGTCATAGACAACCATTCCCCATATATGTATCTAGAACTAAGTCCCCCTTTTCTCTTATTAACTGCTGTACAGGGTCATCACCAGCTACCCCCATACAAGCCTATAAATGCTATATTCTACTTATAGATGATTTTACAGGCTATTGTTTGATACTTCCTATGTATGCTAAATCTGAAACCACAACTAAAATCAACACTAACATCAAAACGATTTGTTTAGATGGAGGAGGTGAATACGCCTCACAATCTCTATGGCAATACCTACGATCTTATGGAATTATAAACCAATTCAATTGCCCCTACACAACCCAACAGAATGGGGCGTTTGAACACAAACACATCACATCAAGACAACCCAAACGCTGCTACACGCTCCAGACTACCTACTCAATTATGGGCCGATACTCTTATCACCGCTTCCTATCTCATTAACAGGATGCGATCTAAAACCTTCGACAACAAATCACCCTATGAACTTCAATCTTCCCCACCTATACAAAGACCTTTGAATGTCTTTGTTTTCCTTGGTAAAGACCTCTCACCTCTTGCAAACTACTCCCGTCAGCTCCTCAATGCACCTTCATAGGCTAGTCAATCTCTCACAAGGGGTACAGGTGACCCGTAAAACAATCATTTCCAAACATATAATTTTCAATGAAATGTCTTTCCCACTATCTCAGCCCATTACAGATCCTCTACCTAGCAGCAACACAATTCCTTCCCTCCTAAAACCTAGTCCCATATAAACATCTCATCCCATACACAATATTAACCAGCACCACCACTCGTCTCACCATTAAACAACCAACTTATCACACATGTTCAAACCTCAGAATCAAACCAACCACCATCCTCTACACATTTTCAATCCCAGCCATCAGCAAACAAACATCCCACACTCACCAGGTCCCAGACCAACTCACTCAAACCAAATACCATATTTGAGCTCCACACCTCAAACACATCACAGGCAGATCCCGCCTGTTATTCTCAAGTTATGAAACACATTCACTGGAGGCAGGCAATGTCCAGTGAATTGCAGGCATTAAAAATACATGGAACTTGGATTCTAATATCTACTCCAAATCAGAATATCAATGGCTGCAAATGGGCATATAGAACCAAATTCAATTCCGATGGGTTAATCTCCAAAAGGCTAGCTGAATAGGAATTCAAACAAGAAAAATGCACTGATTACAAAGAAACGTTCAGCCCAATTGCTAGACTACCAACAATTTGAATTCTCCCTCTCGCTCTGCATCACTAATGGGCAGTACAACAATTAGATATCTCCAATGCATTTTGCATGGACCGTTCAAGAAACCATATATATGAACCGGCCACGAAAATTTCAAGATACCCAACTCCCAAATCATGTGTGCCTACTCAAAAAGTCTATTGATGGCATCGAACAAGCACCATGGCAATGGTACTTCACTCTCTCCAATCACCGAAAAAGCAAGGGTTTCAAATTAGTACCGCAGATCCATCACTTCTATTATAACATCACAAAGGTGTGCACACCTATCTTCTGGTTTATGTCGACGTCCTTCTAGTAAAAGGTAATGATACTTCCATTATATCTACAATTCTGAAATATCTCCAGTCTACCTTCCAACTCAAAAAGCTCGGGACTGTCAACACCTTGGGAGTTCACATTCAATATAACTCTCAGGGGTATCATTTTCACCCAAACAAGCCACATAAAGTCCGTTTTACAACAACTGCGAATGTCAAACTGCAAACCTACAAACAATCCTCTAATTTACAAGCTAAAAACTGACTCAACTTCCCAACAAGGCTATCTTAATCTCACACAATATCATCAATTAGCAAGCTCTCTATAATTCATCACACGTACGAGACCAAACATGGCCTTTGCAGTCAAATATATGTACCAACAAATGCACAAACCACTTCTTTACCACTTCCAGCTCATCAAACGCCTACTATATTATCTCAAGGGCACCACTATGGTCTTCAACTCACACACGGCGACCTTCAGCCCATAAGCTACTCCAATTCAGATTGGGCAGGACACTCAAGATTGTAGGTCAACAACTGGGAATGTCAAACTGCAATCCTACAAACACTCCTCTTTTTTACAAGCTAAAAACTGACTAAACTTCCAAACAAGGCTATCTTAATCTCATACAATATCGCCAATTAGCAAGTTCTCTATAATTCATCACAAGTACGAGACCAAATATGGTCTTTGCAGTCAACCACACGTAACAACAAATGCACAAACCACTTCTATACCTATTCCAGCCCATCAAACACCTGCTATATTATCTCAAGGGCACCAATATGTGACAATCAGGAAGGGCGGAAATTAGGCAGTTAAATTAGGAGTTTTCTATAATTAGGAGCTTCCTTATTTAAATTATTTCCAATATCTTTATTATGATTTATTTCCCTTTTAGTTGAATATTTAGATTAGAAATCAACAACTGGGAATGTCAAACTGCAATCCTACAAAAACTCCTCTTTTTTATAAGCTAAAAACTGACTAAACTTCCCAACAAGGCTATCTTAATCTCAACCAATATCGCCAATTAGCAAGTTCTCTATAATTCATCACAAGTACGAGACCAAATATGGTCTTTGCAGTCAACCACACGTAACAACAAATGCACAAACCACTTCTATACCTATTCCAGCCCATCAAACACCTGCTATATTATCTCAAGGGCACCAATATGTGACAATCAGGAAGGGCGGAAATTAGGCAGTTAAATTAGGAGTTTTCTATAATTAGGAGCTTCCTTATTTAAATTATTTCCAATATCTTTATTATGATTTATTTCCCTTTTAGTTGAATATTTAGATTAGAAATCAACAACTGGGAATGTCAAACTGCAATCCTACAAAAACTCCTCTTTTTTATAAGCTAAAAACTGACTAAACTTCCCAACAAGGCTATCTTAATCTCATACAATATCGCCAATTAGCAAGTTCTCTATAATTCATCACAAGTACGAGACCAAATATAGTCTTTGCAGTCAACTACATGTACCAACAAATGCACAAACCACTTCTATACCTATTCCAGCCAATCAAACACCTGTTATATTATCTCAAGGGCACCAATATGTGTCAATCAGGAATGACGGAAATTAGGCAGTTAAATTAGGAGTTTTCTATAATTAGGAGCTTCCTTATTTAAATTATTTCCAATATCTTTATTATGATTTATTTCCCTTTTAGTTGAATATTTAGATTAGAAATCAACAACTGGGAATGTCAAACTGCAATCCTACAAAAACTCCTCTTTTTTATAAGCTAAAAACTGACTAAACTTCCCAACAAGGCTATCTTAATCTCATACAATATCGCCAATTAGCAAGTTCTCTATAATTCATCACAAGTACGAGACCAAATATAGTCTTTGCAGTCAACTACATGTACCAACAAATGCACAAACCACTTCTATACCTATTCCAG